ATAATCTGCTTCTGCCCCATTGATCGTAATTTCTAATTATTCAAATCAGAGTAATGAATATGCCCCATTCATTGCGAAAATAAATATTATGAAATTTTAAAATATGTGGATAAAAAGAAATAGAAGATATGTGGTATTGTGCAATTATTATGAACACGTGGCTTCATAACTATCCATGGCTTCTAACTCGAAGGCCATAAAGAACCTTCTTTGCCAGTCAGAAGTGTTGCTAAGGTTGATTCAGAAGTGGAGAAGTCAGCAAATGCTTCTATTTACTTACCAGGCCAGTTGGTTCATGGAAATACATTAATAGCAAGTAAAATATTTTCGGAATATAAAGGGCTTCTGAAATTTTCCATCATTGAACTTTATATTTACACCACTTTTCATGCATTGAAATATACCCAATATACGGTATATTATCTTGACCAGGAGGTGCACTCAATAGAAAGTTTTTATTGTGGAAGCTGTGTAGAGGTGCAACAATTGCTAATTGGGGCCAGTATGGTATTATAATGTAAATACATGTATGTACATTTATTGCTAATTAATATTGAATTATACATAAACAACATACACATGTACATGTACACATACCTGCTTACAACTGAACTGGCCAGTAGTGATATTATCAAATAATAAACATTCAGTCATTAGTTGATTGTACTTATCCGTTCCACCAATCACTACTAGTGCAGGTGAGGTAGAGTCACCATTGATAATAGCACTAGCATGATCACATCTCTCCTTAGGCCAGAGTCCCTCACCAGATATTGATCCTTTTTTAATACTCTCCCAATGCTAAATACATGAAACATAAACATGATACCTTATAAGGTAAAACAAGTGATTTACATGTAGATCAATTTATTGTACTATTATGAAAGAATAGCCTCTTTGAAAACTTTGCTAATCGTCATTATAGAATCAGTTTTATGGGATTTAATAATCTCATGACTGTCATAATAATAATAACTTACTATTGTATTATGTGTCACATTAAATATGTACACATTATTAATAACTGTAGTAAGACCATCATCATTAGTTACTACTCCTCCTAACATTATTCCTTTATTTTGATTTATTTTGTTGATTGTAAAACCAATAGTTGTTGGACAACACTGTCCACTGACAGATGGAACAGTGAATTGTCCTAAAAATACAATAAATATAAATAATTAATGATGTCATCAACTGTCACATCTCAAGACATATTCACACAATTGATAAAAAGATACTCACCATTAGATAGATTATAAAGTAACTGTTCATTAGTAAGAACACGTCCATCCTCAAGCTGATCATACTGAAACTGAGGATGTTTGACAGCTGGTGTAGTACCTATCCCTCCGACCATAAAAAGATAGTCAGTTCCTTCAAATTCCAGTGATAGCATTCCACCATGGCATTTCTTCAT